TTTTGAAATGGACTTTATGTTTTGAGGAATGTCATCCCATGCTTTAGTATAAACATAGAAAAAAGACCTCTGGCCGTAACAGTTTTTAAAAGTTGGTAATATCAGTTGTCCTTTTGTAACAGATCTAGTTGAATGACCACTTCCAGAATTTGATTTGGGCAACAATGCACAGAGTTCCATAATTGGCACCTTGGAAGATCTGAAAATTTTGTAGGTAGAAAACGTCATCTAGAGGAGCCTTATTGTAAAGTGGTAACCAAAAACTTCCTCAATTTTGCAAAAAWWTTTTCGCTCGCTTGAGGTGGTTTTTGAATTTTCTGAAGGAGTTAATGTGCAGAAGAGGAGACAGAAACACATTAACAGAATAAGTTCTGACGTAGTGAACATTTACCTCGACCGGCTGTTCCTGCTGTCCAATAATTGTAGCTGCAGGGTGTCTTCGCCCCTCTGGCTCCGCCCCCTGCAGAAAGGCTCCATCTTTTCCAGAAAGGACTAAAATATCTCGGTGTCAACTCTGATGTTTTTGCAGAAACCTGAATTTTAGTTTGAATAAACTTTATTTAAATGTGGTTCTGCAAAATCCGAAAACCTTCACACAGTGAGTTTGGTTTTTAAAAAGCCATTGGAGTCTGCAGCTGGAGCAGAGTGACACACAGAGCCTGAGCAGCTGGATGTTTTCAGTTCCAGGTGTTTCCCTGTCCTCCTGAGCCTCTGGCCTCAGGCAGGCAGCAGGTACAATGGCAGCCTGAACAGCTCTCACAGTGTGTTTGCTTTGACAGCTTCTGTTGTTTCCTGCTGACATCTCTGCATCATWACTGAGCCAGAACTCAGGGTGCAGCCTGCTTCAGAGCAGGTGTGTCTGTGGGAGTAATGGGAGCTGCTGCACGCCACCAACAAGCCTCAGACTGGAGCACCAGAATAAAACACAAACTAAAGCTCAGACACAGCAGGTCCTTACACGTTTCTGTGATTGTTGATTTGGTTTGAGCTGAAAACATGTGTCGTCTTTTGGGTTTGCCTGAAAACAGATTCTGCTGATGAACTGGTCTGAGTTTGTTGTTTCACAAACCAGTTCATRAACCAGCTCAGAGACTCTTCTGGCTGCATCAAGTGATCAGTGATGATCTGTGAAGAGCAGCTCATTTTCTCCACGTCATAAAGTCATCTTCAGCTCTCCTCTTCTTCAAATCACATCTTACTGAACACATTCGGCTAGTTTTAGCTCGAAGCTAGTGCTTATGATAGTTATAGCTTTTTGTTATATGATAGCAAGTTTTAGCTTTTAGTTTTAGCTTTTAGCTACTGTTTTACAAGTTTTAAATTTTGACTACTATCTTACTGTTTCAGTTTGAAGCTAGTGTTTTTTTTGCTAATTATAGCTTTTTGTTACTGGATTACCAGGTTTAGCTTTTAGCTTTAATTATGCTAAGATTTTAGCTACTGTTTTGCTACTTTTAGTTTTAAGCCACTGTTTTTGCTAATTATAACTTTTTGTTATATGATTGCTAGTTTTAGCTTTTAGCTACAGTTTTATTAGCTTTAGCTTTTAGCTACAGTTTTACAAGCTTTAACTTTTGACTACTATCTTGCTAGTTTTAGTTTGAAGCTAGTGTTTCTGCTAATTATAGGGTTTTGTTACTGGATTGCCAGGTTTAGCTTTTAACTTTTGTTATGCTAAGATTTTAGCTACTGTTTTGCTACTTTCAGTTTTAAGCTGTTCTTGCTAATTATAACTTTTTGTTATATGATTGCTAGTTTTAGCTTTTAGCTACAGTTTTATTAGCTTTAACTTTTAGCTACTGTGTTACAAGTTTTAACTTTTGACTACTATCTTACTGTTTTAGCTTGAAGCTAGTGTTTATGCTAATTATAGCTTTTTGTTACTGGATTGCCAGGTTTAGCTTTCGTTATGCTAAGATTTTAGCTATTGTTTTGCCAGTTTTAGTTAGGTCACTGTGTTTGCTAATCATAGCTTTTTGTTATATGATTGCTAGTTTTAGCTTTTAGCTACTATTTTACAAGTTTTAACTTTTGGCTGCTGTCTTGCTGGTTTTAGTTTGAAGCAAGTGTTTTTGTTAATTATAGGGTTTTGTTACTGGATTGCCAGGTTTAGCTTTTAGCTTTTATTATGCTAAGATTTTAGCTATTGTTTTGCTAGTTTTAGTTTTAAGCTACTGTTTTTGCCAATTATAGTTTTTTGTTGTATGATTGCTAGTTTTAGCTTATAAGTACGGCTTTATTCATTTTCGCTTTTGTTATGCTAAGATTTTAGCTATTGTTTTGCTAGTTTTAGTTTTAAGCTACTGTTTTTGCCAATTATAGTTTTTTGTTGTATGATTGCTAGTTTTAGCTTATAAGTACGGTTTTATTCATTTTCGCGTTTGTTATGCTAAGATATTATCTATTGTTTTGCCAGTTTTATTTAGGCCACTGTGTTTGCTAATCATAGCTTTTTGTTATTTGATTGCTAGTTTTAGCTTTTAGCTACTTTTTTACGAGTTTTAACTCTTGGCTACTCTCTTGCGGGTTTTAGCTTGAAGCTTGTGTTTTAGCTAATTATAGGGTTTTGTTACTGGATTGCCAGGTTTAACATTTAGCTTTTGTTTTGCTAAGATTTTAGCTATTGTTTTGCTAGTTTTGGTTTTAAGCCACTGTGTTAACTAATTATAGCTTTTTGTTAAATGATTGCTAGTTTTAGGTTTTAGCCACTGTTTTATTAGTTTTAAATTTTGGCTACTATCTTGCTGGTTTTAGTTTGAATCTAACGTTTTTATTACTGGATTGCTAGATTAAACTATTATCTTTTCTTTTGCTATTTTAAGATTTTAGCTACGATTTTGCTCATTTTACATTTTTGACTTTGACTCTTTTAGCAACTCTTTTTTAGTTGTAGCTTTGACACGTGATTTATTTAATCTGATTTAATAATTCTGTAAATTGGGGTGTTTTATTGCTGTTTTACTCATTTTAGCTTTTAGCTACTGTTTTAAATTGTTTACTTATTTACATCACATCTTACTGGACAGATTTAAGTACCAGTGTGATTTTGGTCAAACTGCTGTCCTTATGAGGTCATTACGAGGTCACAAACCCAAACTTTTATTCTGATCTGTGCAGAACATTTAATTATTCTGACAGATTTGTTTAAATCTCCCTCTGGCTCCTCCTGGTGGCAGATTCAAGAAAAGAAGCAGGAATTTATGCTGACAGTTAAAGTCCAAGACTCATAAATCTCTTTGTTTTACAGAGAAGCAGTGAAACTCTCCTGACGAGGGAAATAAGAAGAATATAGAGTAAAAAGCTGTTAGTTCAAGTCTAAATTAATAAAAAAAAAAAACATAATAAATAAGAAAAAATGTTTTTCACACAGCTTCTTTAAATTTTCTCATCTGCAGATGTGTTTGTATTTGAACCAACCACCACAGCTGCCCAAATACTTTATTTAAGTTGTAGTCTTCAGAAGGATACAACTTGTTGGAGAGCCTTGGATGTAAACACAAACGTGCATCTTTCACAACTCCAGGCTCGTAATCATTTTACGACATCAGTCCGGCCAGGTGAGCCGGCCTCCGGCCAGGAGGACATTAACCTGAATGATCTGACCGGTTTTACAGCAGGCGTWACGAGCTGCTGCTGCTGACTAAACAATATCTCCATAAAGTCATTAATGACCTGCGTTGTGTTCTCTCACAGGCTGTTGTTGSTTTTACAGCCGAAGGCGGATTTTATTGCAGCTGATGGTTTTTATCATGTCTTACATCCCCTGACCAGCAGTGGGAGCAACTGGATCTGATTCACCAATTATCTGTAATATTTTATAATCAATTAATAAGTTAATTTCATTCAACAATCATGTAAAACAGCAGATGTATAAAAGAAAAGTATAATTTATAAATAATGATCTAAACCAGACTTAAGTCAGTCAGTGGCTAACTTAGACTTTAGTTAGTTGAAAAATTATGACTACAAGCTAAAGCTAGGTTTTAACTTTTGACTACTATCTTGCTGGTTTTAGTTTGAAGCTAGTGTTTTTGCTAATTATAGCTTTTTTGTTACTGGATTGCCAGGTTTAGCTTTCGTTATGCTAAGATTTTAGCTGAGGCTGCGCCACAGACAGGAATAAGGGCTGCCGTTTGCAAAGTTACAGTCAAAAATTACCACCAATATTTTTGTTTTATTTAGCCTTTTACTGTATAAGAAAAAAAGAACAGATTTGTTTTTCAAAGTCAGTTTTTCACCATATGATTCATACATTTATAAATGTCATAGTTTATAAACTAAATATTTATCTTACAAATGAAATATTTAGTTAACAAGATAAATATATAACTTGCTAGCTAAATATTTAAGTTGCAACTTAAATATTTAGCTAGCAAGTTAAATATTTCAGTAGCTAGCTAAATATTTAAGTTTCAAGCTAAATATTTAGCTCAAAACTAAATATTTAAGTCACAAGTTTAAATTTTAGCTTGTTAACTAAATATTTAATTTGTAAGTTAAACATTTAGTTTATAAACTGACATTTATAATCATATGTTGAAAAACTGACTGAAAAATAAATTTATTCTTTTTTTCTTATAAAAGTCTAAATAAAACAGAAATATTGGTGGTAATTTTAACTTTGTAACGTTACAAACAGCAGGCCTCTGACTGTGTCTACACTGAGAACAAACATGGTTCTGATTCTTCACGGCGCTCCTCTGCTGGTTCTTGTGATGGTTAAAAATCAGATTAAATCCCTCAGCTGCTCCCAGCATGCAGCCCACCTCGGTGGCTTATATAACACATCTGTGGTACTTATTGTTGCACCAGATGATGCAAATTTGACATTTTTATGGGTAAAACATTTTAGTCAAGCAGACTTTCTCCTGCTTTTTACTGCATTTGTTGTGTTTAAAGGTCAGATTGTGATGTGGGCTGAAAGGGTTTACGCTGAATTGATGTTTTTTTTAAGTAAATCATTTAATTGTTTAAAACACTAAGTTAGCATTGAACTGAGCGGCTGAAGGGAGAAATGAGGCAAAATTATGGAAAAATGAAAAAAGAAGTGATCATTTCTCTAAAAAAATGTATTTAAAATCACTTTAAGTGTACTTCATGTCTTCAAGTAATCCTGTGTTTGAAGGGCAGATATGATAAGAAACTCTTTGACTTTATAACAGAAATAAAATATTCTTTATGTGATGCTCTCAGAACTACTCAACCAGCCGGTGTTTGAGGACGTCACATTTCCTGTGCCGGCGGTCGCCATCAGCGCTGACAGATTCTGTCTGGGAGCAGAATGTTTGCCAAGGTCAGGGCTCTCCACAGAAACCTTCAMACCATCACTGGGAGAGGCAGTCAGCTCTGGACCTGGAGGTGATTGAAACATGACCATTACTGAAAGCAGAGACTTCAGTCCCTGGAGACGTGTCAGCAGCTTCACATGGTCTCTAAAACCTCCCAGAATCAGAGCACAGAGGGAGCTCAGCTGAATCAGCACAGCTAAAAATAATCCTCTCCTTCACAGACCTGTAGCTGCTGGTCAGGATGAGCAGAGGAATCTGAGAGTCATCAACAGGTCCTGTGACGTTAGGGAGGTGGCTAAAACCTGAGACAAYACAGAAAAACAACAGAAACAAAAACAGGGCTGAGGCTAAAACCTGAGACAATACAGAAAAACAACAGAAACAAAAACAGGGCTGAGGCTAAAACCTGAGAC